GAATTAATAGTAAAAGCCATATTAATTTCACTCATCATATTATATTGGACTGTTTAATAGACTAAGCAGGTGTAAGATAGCACTGGATACAGCTCAAATCCCAGTTTTTGTTCTAATCTTCTCATCCCAAATGATTTTAGGGGTGTTCCTTTGTATTCTCTGCCCTGGGTTCCTGAACAGATATGTGCAGATTGTCTACCAGCCACTGAAATCTTAAGAAGATTAATTAAAATTTGCTTGAGTTTCATAAAAAAATAAGATATTTAAGCTAAAGGATGGTTAATATGATTGCTATCTACAAAGTGTTTTGATCAGGTCTGAACTGACTACAATGGGTTGGTAATAGTGCCCCAGGGTTTTGTAGTTGGGCTTAATTAAATGTAACTTTTGTTTCTTCATAAAAAGCAGGAATCTTAAGACAGACAAATTGGCCTTACATATGTTATTTCTATATGAAGCAAAAATATTTCTGAAGTGGAAACTCTTCATTAGTTTCAAGGTCCTGAATTATCCTCACAAAATTTCTTTTGGTGTAGTTTCCTTTAATCCTTCTCCTGGGGGAGCAATTATGAAAATCTATGCTGGTTGCAGTGAGTGAGGGGACTAAACATGGCTTAATGAAGAAAACCAAGTTGGAATGAATTAAGATGACTTTATAAAGGCACACAGAAAGACACTGTTTCCTCAAGAATGACTGAATGTCAATGGGAGAATATCTGCTGAATGCAATCATGTGCTTAGAAGCATTTATCACTGTTCTGTAGCTCCTTCATATTCTTCCCACATTCACTATGGCCAGAAGAGATGCGCAGAATGAGAGTACATTCTCAGTAAATAATTATAGCGATGCATGCTGTAGTCAACACATGACAGTGGCATTTCCATATATGAATTCTCATTACCATGGCTATGCCAGTCAACTATATCAACTTATTGTAGGATAAGTTTTGGCATGCAGGTTGCCTTGGTCCAGAGCACCTCCCTTCCTTATTAAAACCTCCATTTTAATTGGTGCTCTTGATTTGTGAGATTGAGATCCCAGTGATATTGTCTCTTACTCTCAGTGAGCTCAGACCCAACGGTTGCTAAAAACTGTCCACTTTGGAAGGCTAAAATTCACATCGTGGTCAGGAACTTTCCTTTAACAGGTTGCTCTGTGGTATTCCCAAGATTGGTATAACCAATTCCTTCCCACAACTGTGGGCGTCTTTCATACCCTGAAGGAAGAAGAGGCAGTATGGATGGAGATCTCAGTCACCTTGGAGTCTGATCCTTCACAATATAGTAATGATGTCAGAATTTTTACTATGGTCATTACCATATATATGCTGAATTATAATATAAACCTAGAGAGCACTGTGGAAAAAAAAACTTTGTTGCTTTAGAAGGATTATTTTAAAATAGCACAAAATCTGCTGTGAATATGATTGTGGTCACAAAGGTATTTAGGATCTGAATTTCCAGAGATTGCCAGCGTGCAAATACAGTCAATATTTAAGGTGGCTGCCCACTCATGATTGATAGAAGTGGCCAAGAAAGCAGTAGGTCACGTCAGAGCTGCCTAATTAGTTCACACATATAATGGTCCTTTAGTGTGATCATCGATAAAAGCATAGAGGGGCCACAAGGCAGAAATTGCTTTTTATTTTTAAAGTAAGTATTTAATCTAACAAATGGTTTCAGGTGTGCTGCCAGAGTTTGCTCAGTTGAACACAAAATGTCTTCAATTTACACAGTTTCGATTATAAGGCCATCTTCTCAGATATAATTGAACAAAAAGTCTGTCTCGAACCTTTTGAATTACATGTCCAGAGACGATAGCAGAGATGAACAAAGCACAGGAGCTGCAAAGTTAATGTGACTGTCATTGGGCAGCTATCTCAGGTCTAAAAATGAATCCATGTTTTCTGCTAATGGAGCCACAGTGAGGGAAAATATCTTCCTGGGTAATTTCATGAAATGAGAACATATCCCAGTAGTAAAGGCTTAGCAAGAAGTAGAGTGTCTTCAAATGCAAATTTTCTGACATTTCACAGCTACAAAAATAATTACCATACCTTGGTGACTTTGACTTAAAGGTTTCATTTAGTATATAACCAAATGTAATGCAAAAGGCACACACTCTGATAAACAAGATTTCCATTTTAGGACTTGCCAAGGGTAGATTTTTTTTTCTCTTCTCTTTCACATTGGAATGTCATTAGCAATTAGATGAAATTATTTATGTGAAATGAAAAAGTAAAAGCATAAAGTAGTGCTGTGCACATCAGAAGCAGCTGGCCTCCCCACTATGAATATGAGAAGAGCCCTGGTGTCTTGATGAAGTGATTGTTCTTCGAAATTATAGAACTGTCCTGTTGTGTAAACAATTTTATTTAATAAATATTTTGAAACCAAAACCGTTTTACTTTCATGTATCAAAGGAAAAACTACATTCAGAATTGCAAAGCATGAAGGAAAACTTTTAAAATATTGGCATGTTTTTGAGTCTCTTAACATTCTATGTCTAGTACAGTATTGGGTAGCTGATACATACTCTGTGGAATTGAATTGGGAAAAGTCACCTTAAGGCATAGGAAAACTTTTGAGAAGCAATTTGGCAAATATAATCAAATACTATAAGACTGTTTATGTTGCTTTGACCCAATAATTTGACAGTTGTGAACTTATGCTAAGAATCTTAAATACTAAGATAGGCTGTACATAAGGATGTTCATTGCAATGTTATTCATAATAACAATATAATTAGGAACAACTATTTCTCTTTTGTTGATTATTATGTAAAGCAAATTGTGACATATCAACTGAAATGAACATTATGTAGCCAAAAAATGATACTTGCCAAAACTAGATTGCAAAGTAGAAATTCATATAATGTAACACAAGTGCAAAAAGCCTGATATAAAATTGTGCAGAAGCGGAATCATGTAAAAATTAAATAAGCATACATTAAAAATAGACCGAGGAAACACATGAAGGTGCTAGCATAGGTTGTGTTTGGATGGAAGTGCAATTTTTTTCACATCTTTTTTGATTTTTAAAATAATCTATAATTTTTTAAAAAGAAACTCTTGAATTTGAACACTCAGTTGTTATGCTTATATAGCTAATTGTATTAAATTGAACTCTTATTCTCACTCCCCAAACCTTTTTCTATGTAAATACATTCACGATGGTTAATTAGTCACAAACGGGAAACCAGTCGGGCTGAAGTACATAAACTCTAATTAATGTAGATCTCAGTAATTGGAGATTAATGGAAGTTTGCAGATCTGAGATTCTTACAGAATAAAAAGTCCCCAAGAGTAAAATATTAGGATGTTTTATTACACAGTTAATCGTACTTTGTTTCGTAGAAATTGGCATATAACAAATTATGGTTTTTGGTGAGCTTACTTAATTAAACTTTCTGTAAGTGATTATGCTATTTGTAATTGTAATGGTTGATATAGAATGCATGAAAATAGCAAAAATAGTTAAATAAGTTAACACAATTATTTAAACAACAACAAACCCAAAAGTGATTTGCCTGGTTAAGTTTGTGAGATAGACAATAGGTTTGCTCCAGCAGATTAAGTTAAAAATACACTGGAATCCCATGATTTGTTCCTAATTAAAATGTTTTTTATATATGTAAACATTATATATAACTGACAATTGAAAGTAAAGATAAGTAAACTTTTGCTTCACTATCACTTGCCTGTTGAAAAACATAAAAGGAGTTTTTATATAATCTCTTCTAGAAGTTTTTTTTTCCCCCTCTAAATGCAACCACTAAAAGTTACATATAAAATAACTGATTCCATCAGTTACAGGTGTAACAACTCTTTGTTTTACTTTCTCTGAACATTTTCAAACCAATACTTCAATTAAAATGTTAGTTATCTGAAGTTATGTCATCCTTACAGAAGAACCAAACATTAGTGATTTCAAATGCTTTAAAAAGCCTGAATATGTTATAATGACTGGGTTTATTCTTAAAAAAAAAAAAGGAAGTGAAGCTTTCTTCAAAAAATACATTATTAAAAAATAAAAAATACATTATTTTTCTTAAATATGCATATTTAGTTGCTTGCTTTAATTTTAAATATATTTGAAGATTTGCCATATGAACATTTACTTCCTCATTCTTTTATGCACACAACTGAGTTTGTCACCATCATGAACTCTGAAGACAAAACCCACTTGCTATTTTTTTTTTAAGATTTTATTTATTTATTCATGAATACACAGGCAGAGACTTGGACAGAGGGGAAGCAGGCTCCACGCAGGGAGCCTGACGTGGAACTCGATTCCGGGACTCCAGGATTGCGCCCTGGGTCAAAGGCAGGCACCAAACCACTGAACCACCCAGGGATCCCCCCACTTGCTATTTTTTTAAGGAAAAGTAACTCATGATTTAAGTATGAGAAGGTGGGGAACGCCTGGGTGACTCAGTGGTTGAGCGTCTGCCTTTGGCTCAGGGGTGATCCCTGAGTCTGGGGATCCAGTACCCACATTGGGCTTCCTGCAAGGATCCTGCTTCTCCCTCTGCCTATGTCTCTGCCTCTCTCTCTCATGATTACATAAAATCTTTTTAAAAAATTAGCTTTTTGTCTGATCATAAATAGCTTAAAATGTTGGTTTCAAAAATATTAGCTTCAATTTTTAGATTTCATTTGTCATTTTAAAGAGATAAATGGAATGGTTTCATGAACCACTATTGTTACTGATATTAATAATATGAATTTCTATTCAATGATTTATAAAAGCAAAAAGGATGCATTCATCTCCATTTTGTTAACAGAAATTGCATTTAAAATTATGTAGCAAATAAGTATCCAATTGAGTGAAAACCATTTCTGACAATCATCCGATCAATTAATCAATATAATTCAGGGCCTACCATGTACTAGCCCTCTGAGACACAGTGGCAACTTTGTTGATTTTGAATGTTCACGTCTGCAAATAGATTTTAGATAAGCAAATTTTAAAAATAATCAAATATTTAAATAACTTACCTTTGGTTCCTTGAACTTGGAGAAAAATCCAAAAAATGAAAATAGCCCTTCTAGTTTCCAAATACATTCTGGCTTTTGTGCATTGGTAATTCTGGTAACAATCACAGAGCAGTCCCAAATCTCATTTAAAAAAATGACAGAAACATGAAAAATAATTAAATATTGATGCCAGCTGAGTGAGAATAACCTTCTTGGTTTACCTTATAAGGGTACTAATTTATGAAGAACACGAAGCAGTGTCTGTTTCTGGAATAATCGGCTTATCTTCCCCTCAGGTGTAATCTCTGCTTAAGGGCCAGCTGGAGGAACCTTTATCTCATTAACCTTCTGGAAGAGCATCTGTCAGCCTAGCTCCAGGACCCTGAATGCCATTATAAACAAGTGTCCACAGGCAGAAGAAATGCTTTTTTCTTATTCACCTGTTACAGTGACATAGAGAGCCAGGGGAAGTCTTGCTAAATGCAGAAGAAGGCTGACAGTTAGGGTCAGATGTTTTCCAAAATGACATGCTCAAGGAACATCCATTGAAAGAGCTTAATTGCTATCCCTGGAAGTACGTGGGTTTTCACTATGTGCTTGTCTCCAGAGATGGCAAGGCAAAGCTGTCTCTGCTCTCATAGAAATGAACTGCTTTGTAAATAGCTTTCCGGTATTACATACAGATGACTTTTTTGGTTTGTTGTAAGTCTGATTTTAATCTTTTAAAATCTGTTTTTCATATGCAGAGTTTAAAAAGTTAAATGACTTGTGAAAAGTAATGGTGCTATTCTTCCTTTCAAAGGAAGCCACTTTTAAGTTTTTAAGCTAATTCTAGTATTCTTATTTGTACCTCTAGAATAGTCTGCTTCTATTACTACTTTTTCATTTTTCACTTTTAGGCATTATCAAATAATAGATATTGAGCATATCTTCCCCTCTACGTATACACTCCCCACTTTCTACAAACACGTATTCATCTTTCTACCCACCTCAGTATTACTGTATTTTCAGTTTATTGAATATTGAATTTTTTATTTTTATGTAGCTGAGCCATGGAGTATACTATAATTATTCACATGTATTGAACACTTGTGATAGACACTGCTCTTAGACATTTCCATAGACTATCCATATATTCCTTAATACAATGTTATGAGGTAGATACATTATTATGATCTGTTTTATATTTAAGAAAGCTAAGGTGTATATGGCAGAGCCAGTATTTGAACTAAGTCTGGTTTCAGAGCCTATTCTTTAACTCCTACCTCCATGATGCTTTTTGCAACTGTCTCATATTTTTCCCCTTAGATTTCACATACAAAACAATAAGTTATCCCCAAATGTTATCCTAGATGTGTAAATTTCCTCTTCTTATGGTTAACACTTCAAATAGCCTGTCTTTTCCAGGATTTGCTCCTGCTAACCCCCTCCAGTCTATATTGTGTCTTTTCTTGCTCCTGCTCACAGTGATCATCTGGGGATCCTCCTTCACAGTCAGGTTGGGGATGGCTTTTATCTCTCTTGTATCAGTTCCTGAGTTTTCTGGATTCTATGTTGCCTTTTTTTCTTAACCTAATCTCTTTTTTTAGCAGAGCATATGCTCCAGTTTATTGCTAAAATTTCATAGTAGTTATATTTGAGATCTTACATGTTTAAAAGTGGCCTCCATCTATACTCATATTTGATTGATAGTTTGGCCAGTGCTATAGACTTAATGTCTGTGTTCTCCTAAAATTCATATGATGAAAACTAACTCCCAGTGCAATGGTTTTTGGAGGTGGGGTCTCTGGGAGGTGATCCGGTCATGTGGGTGAAGCCACTTGAATGGCATTGGCTACCTTATAAAAGAGGCACCAGAGAGTTGAGCTCCTTTGCTCTTTCCATCTTGTGAAGCACAGTGAAAGATCAGTTTATGAAACAGGAAGCAGTCTTTCATCAGACACTGTTTATGTCTGCATCTTAACTTTGGACTTCCCAACTCCATAACTAAGAAATAGAGTTCAGTTGTTTATAAGCTACTCAGTCTTTGTTTTTTGTTTGTTTGTTTAGTTTTTTTATTCTTTTTTAAAAATGTTATATATTTATTTGAGAGAGAGAGAGAGAGAAAGGCAGAGACATAAGCAGAGGGAGAAACAGGCTCCATGCAGGAAGCCTGATGCATCACTGAATCCTGGGACTCCAGGATCACGCCCTGAGCCAAAGGCAGACGCTCAATCCCTGAGCCACCCAGGCGTCCCTGTTTTCTTATTCTTTAGATTTTATTTATCCATTCATGATAGACACAGAGAGAGAGGGAGGCAGAGACACAGGCAAAGGGAGAAGCAGGGTCCCCGCAGGGAGCCCGATGGGGGACTCGATCCCAGGATCCTGGGATCGCGACCTGGACCAAAGGCCGACTCTCAACCACAGAGTCACCCGGGTGCCCCAGTCTTTGGTATTCTATTATAGCAACCCAAATAAACTAAGACAACTGAATATAGAATTCTAGGTTGGAAATAATATTGACTTAGAATACTGAAAACATTAATCCGTTGTCTTCTAGCTTCTTGTGCTACTAAAATCTGAAGTCCTTTTTGCTCTTGCTTCTTTGTATAGGATCTTTCTAGAAGATCTAGAAGATTTGTCTCTTTGAGAAGAAAAGATCTCTCTGAGAGAGGGAGAGAGAGAGATGAGATAGAGTGCAAGAGAGAGAGAGAGCACTTCTCTGCTGCCAGTTTAAGATTTGTTCTTCTAGGTCTGCTACCATTACATCCATGTTTTAGGACTCTGTTTAAATCTACATGTTCAGCTTAATAAAATTATAAAGTGAACACTCTAGTAATATCTAGGTTAAAATATGGAATATTAATAGCCTCTTGGAAGGACCCATGGTCCCCCACTCATAAACACTCACAAACTTTTCTTCTCCATTAAACATAATAATTATTCTGATTTCTGTGGTAATCATGTACTACCTTTTCTTTATATTTTTACTACTTCTCTACACATTTGTAGGCATTGTAGTTTAATTTTGCCTGTATCACCACTATTTATTGAAAAGATCATTATTTCCTCTACTGTTCTGAAGTTCTACCTTTGTCATAAATCAAGAATATATGTTTGTGGGTTCTCTTTCCTGTTTGTCTATTCTTGTGCCACACTCTTAATTATTATACCTTTGAATTATATGTCTTCACATGTGTAGAACAAGTTTTTCCATATTGTTAAAATTGTCTTGTTTGCCTTTGGTGTTTTGAATTTTTTATACCTTTCAGGGTTATATTGTCAAGTTCCACAAAAAATTTTGCTAGGATTCATAAATAGGTGGTGGGGATTAAGAAGTGCACTTGTGCTGAGCACTGGGTCTTTTAAAGGAGTGCTGAATTACTATATTGCATACCTGAAACTAATGTTACACTGTGCATTAACTAACTGGAATTTAAATAAAAACTTGAAAAAAAAAAGAAATTACATCGGACTATTGATCAATTTGGGGAAACTGACATCTTTACCATATTGAACTTTCTAATTCATGAACATGATTTGTCTACTTATTTATTTAGGTTTCTTTAGTTTTGTCTTATATGTATTTCATTCGATTTATTTCTAAGCATTTGATATTTTTATTTTATTGTAAGAAGTATTAAATTTTATTTTCCAATTGGTTATTGCAAGGATATAAAAACATGATTGATTTTTGTATATTGATGCTGTGTACAGTGATCTTGAGAAATTATTGATTATAATGGTTTATCCATTTATTCTTTGTAATTTTTTTAAAGATTTTATTTATTTATTGACACAGAGAGAGAGGCAGAGACACAGGCAGAGGGAGAAGCAGGCTCTATGCAGGGAGCCCGATGTGGGACTTGATCCCAGGTCCCCAGGATCACACCCCAGGCTGCAGGTGGGGCCAAACCGCTGCGCCACCGGTGCTGCCCTATTTTTTGTAATATTCTATCTATACTATTGCCACCTGTGAATAATGAGTTTCTTTTTCCTTTCCTATTCATTTTTATACATTTTCTTCCTTTTCCTTGCTTTTCTGCACTAGTTAGGACCACTAATAAAATGTTGAATGAAATGGTGATAGTAGGTATATTTGTCTTTTTTTTTTCTGGTTCCAAAAGGAAAGCTTCCATTTTACCATTAAGAAAAATGTTTGTTATAGATGAGTTTAGATAGCCTATTATGGAATAAAGAAATTTCCTTCTTTCTAGATTGTGAAGTTTTGTTTTGTTTTTTAAAATAATGAATGGCTATTGAATATTATTACTTGCCTTGCATATCTTTAGAAATTATCATTGACTTTTCCCTTTCGTTTCTTAATGGGATAAAGTACATTGATTTTTCTAATACTAAACCAACCCTACTTCCCTAGAATAAGACTAAGTTGGTTATAATGTTAGTGTTCTACCTGTATTGCTGGATTCAGTTTGCTATATTTTTTAGTCCCTTAAACATCTATGTTCATGAGTAAAACCTCCTATAATATTGCTTTCCTGTAATATGCTAGTAGATCATTCTCATAAAAGGAGTTGAAGAGTGTTTATTTTCTAGTCTATGAATAGTTTTATATTATATTAGTAATAAGTCAGATTTCACCAGGAAAGCTTAGAATTTTCTTTGTGACAGGATTTTAAATTTTGGATTCATTTTATTTTTTATTTTTTTAACTCCCAGCTTTATGGAGACATAATTGACATATAGCATTGTGTAAGTTTAAGGTATACAATGTGATGATTTGATATATGTATAATATTGAGAAGTGATTACCACAATAAAGTTAGTTAACACATCCACCACTTCATTTAGTTATCTTTTTGTTTGCACATGTGGTAAAATGATTTCAAGATTAAATTTCTTACTAACTTCAGGTATATACTACAGTATTGTTAACTGTTGTCATCATGCTGTACATTACACCCCTAGAACTTATTCATCTTGTAACTGGAAGTTTTTACCCTTTGATTGCCAATTTCTCACCACCTTTTGCCTTCTCTGCTGGCCAATCTCCACTCTTTTTGAGTTTAGTTTTTTAGATTCCATTTATAACTGAGATTATCAATATTTGTTTTTTTGTCTTATTTCACTTAGCATTATGCCCTC